GCCTGTCCTTGTGCTTGGGATTGCTTATTATTATTGTCCATGGGTGCACAGCTGGAAAGAGGTTGAGTTTATAAATGAATGTAGCTCTCCCAGTCCTTATTTCACACCCATCCGTGGTAAACAGGTAACAATGCCATTGCTTTCATACACTCAAAGCTGCTCAAACTCACTCCAGAAAGAAGTAAAAAAACCACACAACCACCCCGAAACAGAAGGAAAGTCAAACTTCTCACCTCAAGATTTCTGGGAAGGTATTTTCTTTGTAAATCCCAAGGAGGTAACTCAGCAAACATCACCATTAAATGATCAATAAACCTGAAAGCCAAAACACACTTGGTTAGCACAGATGAAGCGTTCAGCTTCAATGATTTGTACAGCTGCGTTTCAACAATGGTAAAAATAACATCAGCAAATTAGACAACAGACTTGGGTGTAAGTTTAGATCCCTAACAGCTTCTTCCCTTCAAACTCATTGCTTCCCCAGTGAGACCAAAGCCCTGCTGTGACTCTCACTCTTGGTTTCAAACTTGAGCAGCCCAACAGCGAATCAGTTTTAACTTTTTATTTTCACACTGAAAAAGATGTCAAAATAAATACCCTGCATGTTGCCTAAAATTGATTTTCCTTCTCCGTGGGCCCATCAGCCCCACGCTCCATCGGATCAGGGTGCTTACAACAGGCTTGTGTGTCACAGGCTTGTTTATTCTGGTCCTTCAGGAGTGCTGGTGGCCAATCTGTTCCAAGAACCCATTTTCAATTCCTTCAGCGATGAAAAGGGCACAGTGAACACCACTGTAAGAACCACAACTTCACTCATCAGCTTGCACTGTAATTTTAAGCCCTAAACTGAGTAGTAGATCTGAGGAATATGTATTTCCCCAAAAAAGAAATTACAAATTCCAAGTTTGTTGAATACTGCAAGATCAGAAACTCAAGTTAACATGAAGAAAAGTGGAATTCCCACCTTACCAGTGTGAAAGGTCTGCAACCCTTCAGTCAGGCCTGATGCAAGCCCTAAGGAAACTGTGGGGCCACTGGTGGTTACGAGAGGTCCCTTTTGGGACATCTTTATAATTTTTAGTTTTAAGCCTCTTTCTGAGACCCCATATTTGGAGGGTTTCAAAACAGTCTAAGATGGCACCGCAAGCCCCCTTAATCACACTGGCTGGATTCGATGTGTTTCTCTATGCTACACATTTATGTAACATGGAAATTTTGGCCTTCATATTTTCAAGTGGCACTCGTAAATCACAGAATAATTCAGGTTGCAAGGACCTCGGGAGGTCATCTAGCACAACCTCCTGCACAAAAGCAGGGTCAGCGATGAGATCAGAAATGCAGAGCTACTCGGTTAGCATAGCAGTGTTTCACTCGCTGTCTGTTCTCACCTCCGTTATGCAAGAACGCTGCTGACGGTGTGCTTACCGGGAGTTCTCGTGAAAGGCCGCAATGAAATCTGTCTGCTCGTGCTCAGGGTACAGGAAGAGGACAGGCCAGTTCAGGCTGCCATCAGAATCTAAGTGCACTTTGGCACCCGTGACACTGTCAGACTGGAACCCGTCTAAGGATATCTCAGCCAGGCCATCGGATATTTCCTCTTCTTCATTTGAAGGCTCAAGAACCAGCTTGATATTTCTTTCCTGGAGGGGAGGAAGGGGAAAAAAACCCCAAAGAACCAAAAATCAAACAGGTACAGTGGGTAAGAAGCTGGACACCCAGACTCTCCAAATGGATGAGGAGAGGTGGGAATCCAGAGGAACCTGTACGCTGAGAGAAGAGCCTGAGAAAATACAAGGAAAGGGATGCGTCTGGAATCCTGTTCTTTGGGACCTAGCCGGGTGCATACACCAGCCCCTGCAAGCATCTACTCTTTCAGAGAACTGAAAAAAGCATCCTCTTTGTCACCTTAGAAAGACAACTGCAGAAGAGGAGGTCAAATTTTATATAACGGCTCATAATATTTTAACCTAGTGCATCCTCTTGGATGCTCGCTCTACCTCCTAACACCTGGGTTAGTTGTGACCCAAAACAGGGAGAGCTGGAGCTAGAGTCACACAGAGGAGAACCATGGGTTTAACTCAATCTTCTGGCTCTAGCCCTCAAAAGCCCACAGGTGAGAACAACCGTGAGAGCTCTTCAAACCAACCCAAACCCCACTGCTGACTCACCTTTATGGCCGCAAGCAAGTTTTCCTTTTGGCACTGTTCTTTCCTCTCCATCACCTTTGCTTTCCGTGCATCCCGCTCCTCAGCTCGCTACATGTAAGAAAAGGTTGCACCACGGTCACGCACAGCAAGCCACTGCCCATCACCGCTCTCCCCTGCCAACGAGTGGAGAAACCAGTTCAGATCTCCAGCAGTGTCCCCTCCAGCTCTTTCCACCACGCATCGCCAGAGCACAGGCTACACAGAACCACCACTCAGTTCTGTCTGGGGATATGCTGCTGCAGAGAAACTCGTATGGAGCACTCGGCAAGCAAATCCCAAAGTGCTTCTTGGCACAAAGCATTGTAGAAGCTACACAGCCTTAACAATTACCTTTAATTTGTCAGCTTTAGCTCTCAGTTCCAGAAGCTTTTTCTCTTTCGAATCGATTTGCAAGCCCTCCTCACACCACGCTATTGCTCCAGAGAAATTCCTTAGCTCCATGTGACAGAGAGCTCCTGGAAGGATTAAGATTTTAAGTCTTTACTTGTGGAGTCAGTATACAGCTACTACACAAAGTGGTGTTTACAAAGACAGCGCGGGCCCTGCAGCTCTCAAGAGGCATGAGCAGCAGCACACGCTATTCCCTTGCGTGGTCATGTTCACGTCTAGACTTCCAGGAGGTCGGCTGAGAAGAACATGGAAAATATTTCAGCAGTTCCTGTATAATTTCCTCATCTAGTCACAGAAATCCGCAGAATGATGCTAGAAGTGTCTGTTACGAGCAAAATGTTACCATTATAATTAACATTTCAGTATTTGTTTCATAAGGAAAAATAAAGTGGCAATTTCCACAGAGTGAGAAATGTTGGGGGGAAAAAAAAACCAACCCCCACGGCGATTTCCACGGAGTAAGAAACGTTGGGGGAAAAAAAAACCCCAACCCCCAAAAGCTGGTATTGTGGAGAACAGCAAAATTTATGCTGTGCTCTGCAGAAACAGGTCCGATGTCTCTTTGATGGATATAGAAGCTGAAGAGCAAAGAACAAAATGGTAGTTTTGACTGAAAATCCAAAGCAAAACGCAGAGCTCTGTTTTGGGGAGAAACAGCGATAACAAAATGAGAGATCTCCTACAGTAACCGCTTCACTTTTCTGAAAGGAATGCTGTCTGGAAACGAAGTATGATGCCCACTCACAGTAATTTAAGGTTTATAAACACTGTTATTTAACACACAGAAACACCCAGAGAAACAAAGCAACATCTAACAACAGTCTGTTCTGGGACTTGCAACAGTAACAGCACAATAAGTAAAACTAACACTTGCAAAGCTGCTTTGAAACCATGTTCCTTGCATTCCACGCAGCAACACGTGCTTTAACTCTTACCTCTTATGATGGCTTTGAGATGGGTGGGCTTTATCTTTGTTGCTTGGATGGCATCATTGAGAGCAGAACGGTAGTTACCTATAAAGCAAGCAAAACTGCTCAGAACCTTTCATTTATATTTAAAATCCAACCAGATCCCAAGGTGACAAAATGAGAATCTGTAATTCACAGTTCTTAAAATCACTGTGAGGTGAGTGGAGGAAGAAAGAGCAAACAGCAAGGAGTGAAAGGACAGGAATCAATCATACAGGTGAGAGGTCGGTGTCATGACTGTGAGCAAACCATCTCCCAGCTGCAACACACAACAGCATGGAAAGGCCAACACCACCTTCCCTGCTGCACAGATGCTGTTGGTAGGATGGGTGGTAGCTTGAGGAGGACACGGCCAGGACAGAGCAACGGAATGTGTTGCTTCAATGGGTTTTTGAGGCCAAGGCATCCTTCTGTAGTTCCAATCACCCTGTCAATCTGTTCAGCACCAAAACCCACTGAGACTTTGCCCTCTCCTGGAGCCACAGCTTGAGCAGCAGGTCATAGCTGCAATAAACAAAGCACAAACCCTGCACACAGCCGTGCTCTGAAGTGAGGCAGGTCTTCAGAGCTCAAGGTGTCATTTTCTCATGAGCTACTCAGTATGCTGTATCACAAAACAAGTAAAGGAAAAGAAAACCCCCAATGGGGAGGACGAACAACTCCAGCGCAGAGCCCCCTTCCCGGCCCTGTCTGTGGCAGGACGGGGCACGTCTCCTTACCCAGGTAAAACTGTGCGGCCCCTCGGTTTGTGTGCAGCACGGCGTTCAGCTCTGCGTCCTCGCACTTCTTCTTCAGCCCCTCGGTGTAGGCGATGACGGCCTTCCTGTAGTCCTTCTCCCTGAAGTACTCGTTCCCTTCGTTTTTGTACATCCTGGCCAGCTCTGCAGGGGATGGAGGGGGGACAGGGCCTGAGCGGGACGGGAACCCCAAGCCCGCTCCCCCGGGCT